TTGCTAAAGCCAAGATAAATTATATCCACTGCTATCTCTTGCTCACTGATGCAGCCATTTTAGCAGAGAAGGCAATCAGGCATGATTTACCCTTGGTAAATCCATGCTCGCTGTTCCCTATTACCTTCTTCACGTGTCCAGAAATGTGTTTCAAAGAGCACTTGCTCTGCGATTTTCCCAGGGTCCAAAGTGAGGTTGATTGGCTACAGTACCCTGGATTGCTCTTTTGGCCTTTTGCAGCCCCAATTTCTACATTTCAAAGGTGACAGAGAGTGGCCTTGCAAGGACATTGGCCAGTTCCCTCAGCACCCTCAGATGCAGTCTGTTTGGTACCATGGAGTTGTATGGGTCAAGTTTTCTCAAGTAATCCCTCGCTCAAGCCCTGCTCATTGCTGGCTGTTCCTTTTGAATATGTTCACTGATCACAGAGGTATGGGAGACATCGCTAGTGCAGACTGAGACGAAGACGGTTTTGAGTACTTCAGACTCATCTGTCTGTCACCACTATAATCACCCGGCCCACTCAGCATCAGGCGCACATTTTCGTTCGTTGGCCTTTTATCACTCATTTAATAACAGCAGAAGCTTTTCTTGTTGCCCTTGACATCCCTTGGAAATCTCAACTCAAGCTGGGCTTTGACTTTCCTGATGCCATTCCCTGTGTGCCCAGGCAACATTTCTAAATTCCTCCTTTGTAGCCTGTCCCTGCTTGCTCTTGTACGCTGCCTTTTGATGTTGGGTCCTCCACTTAACTAAGCTCTGCTTATTTTCCTGCATATCGGGACAGACTGCTCTTGTGCTTGGAGGGTCCTTAAAGACCTGCCAGCTTCCCTGAGCCACTTTGCCCTTCACAGCTGCTTCCCATGGGATCACACCTGAATAAGCCACACTCTGCTTGTCTGAAGTCCAGGGTCTGTACTTCACAATTCTCCTTCCTCATTCCCTTCAAGATCTTGAACTTTATTATTTCACAGTTGCTACATCCAAGGTTGCCACCGATTATCACAGTCGTAACCATTTCTTTCTTATGAGTGAACAGCAGATCCAGGTGTTCCTCGCCTCTGGTTGGCTCAGATGGAGAAAGAGGTGTCTAACAGCCATACAGTGATCAAACAACAACAGGACAGCTATTATGGTATGGGATCTGTGCAGAGAATCCCATATGGTGGTCAGTGAACAGCAGCAGGAGTTGACTGAACATTTGTGTAAAGGAGAATGAAGTAGAGAGGATGAAAAGGAGAGGACAGCTGTACAAAAACTTATCAGCACAGCTAGACAAAAAGTCCTCAGGGGAATTTGGGGCCCAGTGAGAAGAACAGTAGCCAATACCAAGAGACAAGCATGTCACTGAAGAAGCAGCAGTTTGCTGTTTCAAAGTTGCACTCCACCCAGCAAGTCAAGTGAAGAAAAGCAGAGACACACACAGCTATGGAGTCAGAATGATTTTCAGCTGAGATTCTTGCATCAGAATGGGTAGGCAAGGAAGCTGAAGAAACAGAACAGTGAATCACAGTTGGTGCCTAGGAAAAAAAATGTATGACTCAGAACCAAGAGAAAATAAAGACAGTGACCAGAAGGAATGAGGAGACAAGGCCTGGAGAAAGAAGAGGTGCAAAATATAGTCATGTTTCTCCACAGGCAGTTTGTGGCCTGAGGTCAAAATTGAGACTGCTAGACTTGGGTCACAAAGGCCACATCATCTCCAGAGACCTAGGTCCCCAGCTATGAATGAAGATGCCTATGAGCTTTTCCAAAATTGAATGAGGGTTTCAGTGACCCAAGACCAAGGAAAGCATACAGGGGTAAGGAAAATGGGGTGGGGTACATATAGCCTGCTGCACAGAACTGGAGTTAATGTGGAATTCTCTACAAAAAAATGTTAAGCCTTGTTACATTACAGTAGGTCAGCCCGGGCTTAACCAAGTCTTTCTTTTCACAAAAATTGCATTTTAGGCAAAAGATATGCAGTAGATCCAATCGACTTGCATTTAAGTAAAGCATTTGACATACAGTCATAAAGGGAACCACTACTTAAGACTGAAAAATGGGGATTAGAACAATATATGGTAAAGAACTGGCATAGAAAAAAAAAAACATATTAAGCAGGAAGTACCTCATGGACTATTTTTGAAAATTATTTTATTTAGATATTTTCGTTAACAGCTCCAGCACAAAAAGAAGTATGTTAACAAAACTTAATAATGACAAATTTGGGTGGCACTGTCAATAAAAGGCAGAGGATAGTACAGAGAATGTAAAGAAGCTGAGAACTATAATAGAAACAGGATGAAATACAGCATTACCAAGTACAGGATCACGTTCCTCAGAGTCTATACCCGTAATTCCTGCTCTAATACAAGAATTCATCAGCTGGAAACAACAGAAAGCAGAAGTACTTGTGAGTATTAGTCAGTCACAGAATGATCATACACCATATCGATGTGGTAAGCCCATAAAAAAAAAAAAATTTGATCCCGATCTGCATCACTAGCTATTTCCAGTAGAGATAAAAATGCATTAGTGGCATTCAAGCACTGGTGATACTGGTAATCCGTAATACTATGTATAGTTCTGGTCTCCTGAGAGGTAGATTTAAAGAGGTTTGAGAGAGGTGAATTTAACTTGGAATAGATATAACGAAGGACTGTGAGGATTAGAATTGTGGGGAGCCCCTCTTACTTGGCAAACTAAAAGCACTTGCCTTGCTGAGCCTAGCAAAAAAGAAAAAGAAAAAAAAAAGCTGTCAAATCTAAAGTGTCTCAGAAGTAAGAAACCTAACTAGTCTTGAGGCAGCAATTGTGTCATGGCTTCCATGACAGAGGGAGCCAGACTGGATGTGCCAGGAGGTCCCATGCAGTTCCATAATCCTATCTTCCTGCCTGTAATAGTTTGCTACGTTGAACTTTCTCGTATGATTATATCCATGCCAAATTAAATCCTTCTCACATAGCTGAACTGTAGCAGCTGAGTGACTCTACCCAATATACTCCAGCAGTATACCACAGGCTTGATCAGAGAGCCTAGAAGTCCAACAGCAGGTTATCTGTGCCAACTGCCTGACTCGCTATCATCACAAGTAACACTGAGAACCCACCCCCTTTTCCACTACTACATAAGAATGTTTTTGAGAATAAAATGTATTTAATATCTTCCCCTCTCCCCTTCACAGTTCCCAGAAAACACAAGCAAAAGTTTGCAAAAAGTCTGTGGGTAACAGGTGCTGATAGGCTGGAAAATACTCCAGAAGTAGCTCCAGAAATCTGGAAATTCTACCCTGTGCTTCATGTGCATTCCACAGCCACCAGTGCAAACCTTCCCCTTAACAGGACATCGATGCACACAGCATTTTCCCATCCCATGAATGGTGAGCGTAAGTACTGACTGCAGCCTAATGGAGAACCTTAATCCAGACACAACATCATATCATCGATACCAGCACTCCAGCTGCACTGATAAAAACTCCATTGCAGACAATTTGTGTTGCCTTATCGCTCCATCAGTTAAAATTATTGGCTGACAGCAACAAAGATACTGAAGGGCAAGAAGACTTGGTGACAGCATGGTTCTGAAAGGTGATAGCATCTGTATAGGTTTTTGACATACTTGAACAAGGCCCTACCTATTAGGAATTAGCATGCACTTCATAATCAGAGGCACAAGTCTTCTGTTGCCAAAAAAAGTCTGGTTACCTCTGTTCTGAGTCTTTTTTATCTTATAAAGGCAGCAGACAAAGAAAAAAAGCACCTTGAAATGGTCATATATTTAAAGCAATAGTCTCACCATACAAGATGCATAATTGTCTGTGAAAAGAATTTGTGTGGGACAGATAGAACTGACAGCACAAGAAACGTAGCTTTCATTCTAAGCAAGTACAGACTCCAAGCAGAACAGCAATGAGGTTTTAACACAAACACCATGGAGGCTGCAAGTAGTTTAAAGGTCTGGATTTAATGGTAGCTTAGTCCTTTCAAGACAGCAGCATGAGAGAACTAATGGCTAACCTATGAGCGGCTGTGCTTTCAGAGGGCAGCAGGAACTACAAGAAAATAAGTTATAATATGACATCAGGAGTAGTGGGCTCAACTCCTCAGGTTGCTGGCACTAGGTACTTGTGGAATGTCACAGAAGAGAATCTGAAGGCTGACAGCAAGTTTGGGTTTACACTAGCAGTGGAGAGGTAGACTGGAAAAGGACATGGAGATCTACACATCTGTCAAAGGCATTCTGAGCCCAGAAAAAAGCACCAGAAGCCAAAGAAACTGGGACTAGGATGTGACAAAGGTGAGAGTTTTGAAGACGAAGGAAGCTTGCCTTCCGCAACCCAGCAGGTTTTGGGGTAACTGTACGGAGAAAGGCACAGGAAAGGAAAGGTCTGGGTATAATGAAAGAGAAGGGGAGCACAGAGAAATTACAGTGTTTAAAAAGGAAGTAGAAGATTTAAGCATTGAGGATCAAGCATAGGCACATCTAAAAGCTAGAAATATGCCCAGGGATAGGAGAATTAAGAACTCTCTGGACAATGCAGGGCCCTTCAATTCCACTGTTTACACGGGTTCACTTCAGTCCTACTAGGACATAACCACAAAAATTAGAACCTGGCAGCTCTACTGGGCCAGGGAGAACTGAGAACGAGCCCATCTCCTACAGGCACTGCTGCGCTCTGAACCAGCTTTTGGGCAGCCTCAAAAATTGATCAAACACATCCTTAAGACCCAGAAGGCCTCAGCGTCAAGTCGCGTACTGCGCAGCCCAGCACCACTGTCCATCCAGCAAGTGGCAGTGCTGGCTTGGCTAACCCAGCGCACAGGACGGCACAGGCCGGGCTACGCTCCACGCTCCCAGCCCCCAGCCCCAGCCTTGCTCTCTAGACTTTCACCCACTGCCTACTTACTTTTTAATTAGATTTTTAAACAAAAAGTGAAAGTATTTTCTAAAATCCCTCTAATTACACTGAGACGCTGAACTGATTGTGAAGGGAATAGGAAATGAAAGCGACTCACCCTCTGAGGGAGAATTTTGTCAGCCATCTTCCTCCTCTTGGCACTGTACATTTTTTAAAGAAAAAAACACGTTACCATGGTGACAGATCTAGGAGTAACGAGGCCACCTGCTAAATTATCCTGACATCTCCACATGCTGGTGCACAGCTGTGCATGCATCAGCAAAAGGGTCTCACCCATGCCCAGGACCTAGGACCCCTTCTCTCAGCAGCCTGGGGAGGCAGTTAGCTAAGAACAAATCGGGGCCGTCTGTTATGCATCTTGGAAAGAAGTGTGCAAGTTCTTTGATCACAGCATCTTCTATGGTGCAGGGAGGCAATGTATGCAAGTGCATGTGCACATGCTGTCTATAGATACAGAAAAAGCATGTAGGAGGACAGTGCGCACGTGTGGAAGTGTGCATAGATATACCTGTGCACAGGCAGATGTAAGTGGCTAAGTGCCTATAAACAGAACGTGAACTTGTTCAAACAGATGACATGCATTCGTTCATTCATGCCCAAAATTGAGCGCTAATGAAAATACACATATATTTGTGTATTTCATATGATGTATGAAAACATACAGCTATACACACCCTTCCCTACATATATGTACTTATTTTATTGTAACGTATTTGCATGAGTGATATACAAAGGTAAGTGGGCTTACATTTCCATATTTGTTCATCTTTATGAACGCACATGTGGGAAAATATATGTGTGCCTGCAGTGCATGTAATGTGCCTGTACCCATACATAAGCATATTTATATATCTATGCTTTTAAAAACATACTTGTGTTCGTGTACATACACACAAATGTATATGTGCCTAAGAAATGGTACTGTCAGGAAGATTGCCAAATACATTGTCTTTTGAATTCTTCAGACTCTAGGAACCGTTTGTGCCCACCAAACCTGTCACCTAGCTTTCACTAACAGGGCCAAGAGGGAATTCAGGCCTAAATCTATAATTTGTGAGGCCTTTATCTTAAGCAGGAGATGAATCACTATCTGTGACAGACAAATGGGAGAAAGCAAACTGACTGCTGCCGCTCTGCTGTGTCACAAGGATGCCCCTCCTTACTGTTTTCATACAGGAAGTCTGTCATCAGCCACGTCCATGTAAAAGCTGTTTCCACACGCACAGATGTGGCATACTCCCTCCCTACGTTTGCTAATAAGAAGCCTGGCATGAAATACCAGATTCTTAGATTCTTCCCCATCCCATATAAGCCAAGCCTGAGGAACTCTTCATGCCTGGAGGTGCAAACTACATCCCTCCTCAGGGGCAGAAAATTCATCCACACAGTCACATCCAACTTCATAGGTGAACAATATCCCTTTTTAAAAGCATAGGAATAATGGGACTGGAATGTTACATGGTGTGAACCTCCAACACCTTCCACAGCTCACAAAATCACATCTGCACTGAAACACTTGACAGAATCTGGAAGTAATGCCTAAGCAAGTTCTACCCTCCCAAAGGGAAATGGGATATTCATCCACCTGCAACAACCCCAAAGGCTTCCAATTAGAAAGCAAGTAACAAACAAACCAAAAATGCCCAACAACTTGTGTCTCAACCAGTTCTCTAAGAGTCTATTACAGAAATGAGATTTTTGTCTCTACCAAACCTGCCAAGAAAGGACAACTAAACCCTCTTGGCCTGTTTGTCCCATAAAACATAGGAGTCAATTACTCCCAGAACTGGACCCAAGATGCCCGAAAGGTTTGCCTGGAAAAACAGAAAAAAAAAAAATCAATGGGAAAGGACAGGGAGGTGGAAATGAACAAGGGGAAAACATTCAGCACATTATCTGGAGGGAAGACATGGCAGAAGAAACTTTCCTGAGTACCTAGCAAGTGCTGGTGTGAGCTGGACTCACTACAGTAGAGATTACTGCTGGGTGCCAAACTAGAAGCATTGAAATTAAGAACTGGGGAGGGGGGAACTGCTTCCTTCTGTGAATTAGGCCATCAACTTTTAGAAAATACTCTTTAATGATCCCTGGAAACTAGCTAGTGACTAAAGTTTACCTTAATTATCCAGCAGTGGCAAGTTTTCAGGTTATATCTACCCTGTATATTTGAAGGCTAGGCATTATTTTGTGCAGTTGCCTGGAGTACCTCCTGCGGAATGTGCATTTTGGCTAGTGCTGAGCGAGGCCTCCAAGACGCACATGCATCTCCTGTGCTTGCGTGCTGCACTCACACACATTCCTTCTGTATTTAGTCTTATTCAGTCATAATGTATTAATACTTTTGGGATTGGTTTCCTTTCCAGATGCATCCCAGATACAAGCATGCCCAAGTCTGGCTTGCTGATCCAAGGCATATAACCTGGACAGAGCAGGGCTCCTGAAGCACTGAGCTTAGAGAGTCACGTTCTACCTACAACTAGATATGACGACACTACCAGAACACCATCTGAATCTATATATACATCTATAATGGTTTTGCAAAAGGCAGACCACCTAGATGACCACACCCTACATATTCATCAGGAAGTGGCTCACACTTGGAATTCCAGACTGCTGAGGTCTAGTAAGTTGCAGAAAAAAAAAATTATCAAGCTGTTATTTAAGAGAGAATGCATTCAGCACTGTACGAAGTGGGCATAATTTAAAAAGAAATTTCCTTTAAAAAAAATCCCTCCAATTCTGTGAAATTATTTCCTATGCATATCTCTCTACTTTACATGTAGGAATGTCTGTGACAACTGCAAGTTTTATGACCACCCTCCTGAGTGACCATAGCACAAGTATTCACATGACCAAAAAGTTTTTCCACCTGTTTTGTTTACAAACCATTTTGTTAGCCAGTCAGAAATCAGAGAAATTATACAGAACAGATAACAACTAATAAAATAACTGTACTATATTAGAAGAGAACTGTTAATTAACTTTAAAGGCTAAATATGATGGCCAGATTTATAGCCCAATAAATCTGCAAGGTAGAAGCATGATAACTGCAAAAACAGACATTAGCAAACATCAGTTTGTTCCAAGAATAATTCACAAAGTAAAGACTAAAATTTACTAATGTTTTTCCTGCTTTAAGAAAGTGACAATATATAAATCTTTTGATCATTTGATCTTAAAGGTCTTACTTATTGCTAAAAAGATATATTTTTTTCTTCCTCAAATTGTCCTCTCATGTTTTCTTTCCAAAAACTCACCTCCTAGTTCGGTTCTGAGCGGCTTGCTGCTGCTGTTGCACTTGCTGCTGCGCCTGCTGTTGCTGGACCTGCTGTGGTGCAGTGCGTTTTCTTGTTGTTTCCATCACGGTCTGGGGTATCCCAGGTCGCACTGAGGGGCTTCCAACGTATGGGGGGCCTGGGGGACCCATGGGAGCCCCCTGATGGGGCATTCGAGCTCCTGATGGCATCCCAGGTCGCTAGAGAAGCAAAACAGAAAGAAGAGCCAGTTTGGTCCCCGTTTCTTCAGCTGCAAAGACATTGGTACATAATCAGACACTAACTCCAGCAAGTTCCCCATTTTGATCATCCTGATAAGCACTAAGCAGCAACACAGAGCACATGAGCTCTGGACTGGTATTTCCTGGACATCCTAAAGAGGCATTCAGTGATAAAGTAGACAGGAAACAGGGATGAAAAATACTAGGCTCGGGAAAACACTCAATGGTCAGTAACATATCCAGGCCAGCTTACAGCAGAAAGCTCTACCTTTAGACCAAAGAAAAAGCTCCATGGCAGCTACACACAGTCCAAATTGGCGCAGCTCACATGCTAATCCAAGGTACAAGCAAGTTTACATGTACAGTGCTCCAGATTTTGCACTGACTAGCAGTCTGCTTTGATCAGTAGGGAGACTGTAACAAGCAAAGATGAACCGTGAAAACACTATGATAAAACATTTTCCGTTAAAGAGCCCTCCCTTCACCTACACTGGAGAATAGTCTAAGTTCAAAAAGTGACAAGAATCCTTTAAGAAAATGCCATGTCTCTGATCAGGCCTCTAAAATAAATAATATTTTTTTTTTTTTTTTTTTTTTAAAGAATGTAGTAGTTTAAAATGCCTACAGGGACTGCTGACAAAGTCCTGGCATTTATGTTGACTTCAGCATGCTCTGGAGAGACACTTTGGGTCAAATCGCAAGCTTAATGCTATACTAGACACACAGTAAAGTCGATTCTAAATCATAAAAGTTTATAGTCGTCAAGGAAAAACACCAGTAAAATAATTACCACCTGTAAAATGCACTTTTAGAAAGAAGAGCTTAGGTTCATTCTAAGAATCATCAAGATGTTATATTTCTACATATATGTAAAAATACATACTCTACAGGCATTTGAACTAGTATGTGAATAAGAATAATTGTATACAAAAGTCTTTTGAAGGCCAAGTCCCTCTACAAAGTCTTTTAAGGAAACCAAGAGGCAATCACATCCATCACGATAAATAATTGTTTAAAGGATAGAAAAGAGACAAAGTAATTGGTTCTGAAAATAAAAGGAAGGTACATGCAGAGTTTTTCTAGGACTCACGCTTTTCAGCATATTCATAAGCAACCTGAAAAGAAAAAAAAAAAAAAAAGAAAAAGAAAAAGAGAGAAAAAGTAAGGAAGTGAAAAACTTCGCTGGTAACACTAACTTATTCAAGCCGGCAAGGATGAAGGCCAGCTTCAAAGAACTGCAGAAGGACTTTATGAGGCAGAAAGAACACTTAAAAGGAAGACGAAAATGGATTTCAATACATATTGAAGTGAATTAATTACATGAGAAAAAACAGTCCGATCATCACATATGGAACAACGGGCTCTGGGCTGACTGTTGCCCAACAGAAGCAAGATCTCAGAGTTTAAACAGACACTTCCAGAAAAAAAAATAAAAAAAATAAAAAAAAATCAGTTTACTGCTTACTAGAGGTCAAAAAGAAGCCATTAAACAAAAGAAATGACAAGGAAGGGAACAGAGATCACTACGCCACTGTCCATGGTTTGCCCACATGTTGAATGCTATGTGCAGTTCTGGTTCCTGCAGTTCAGTAATGGTAGAGTAGATGTGAAAAAATAACAAAGAATGGCACAGAAATTATTAAGATATGGAACTGCATCCACATCAGTACAAGTAAATGTCCATCTGGAAAGAGGTGATCCAAGATAATTTAAGGGGGCGTTTGCTAGAGCTCTGCAACATCATGAGTGGCCTGGAGAGGGCAGCTGGGATCTGGCTGTTCACCGCCCTTTCCAGAATAACGAACTACGGCCGTCAGAGGAGACTAGGGAGGAGTCAGTCTCACAGACAACCAAAAGGGCGTAGTTTTCACACAATGGGTAGTCAGCCTGTGGAACCCCTTTCCAAAGGGGTGCTAACGACATGGAAAACATACTTGGCTCAGGAACTTCTCTTGAGTTATCAACAGTTAAAGACCGAGTAAGTACTTGGGAGAAGTACACTAGTGGTCTCCAAAGTGAGGTGTGTGCACCCCAGAGGGTACGCAAGACAGTCCATTGTGAGGTGGGAAGAAAATGGGGGTTGAACCATTAATAAATAAAATTAACATTTTTTAAATGGTTTATTCCATCTTTACCTCATCCTTTTATAATTTCTAAATATATATATATTTTATATATGTATTATAACAATATATCATTCTAAATACAATTTGGACCTGCACTACCCAAATCCACTGTAGTCCCCAAAGCCCCAGCTCAGTGCCCTCCCTGATCATTACAAGTCTTAGACATTCCTTGCGCTTGTATGCATGAAGGAAACTGAAGAAAGAAAGAAGGGGAATGAATGATCAGCAAAGAACCAATAGCTATAATTGGTACACACAGAGAAGGAGGAGAGAGACCGGCATAGGAAGCCAAGCAGGTAAATTCAGCAAGTATTCGTAGGAAATCGATCATGGGTATGGCCACTGAGCAGAGCAGCAGCAGGAGGCAGAAACAGGCAAAACTGAGGCTTTGTGCAGAGCTGGAAACATCTTCTCCCATAAACAGGGAGCGTGAAAACTGCTAGAACAGAGGGCTCTCTCCATTCCCACGTACTCACCCCCACCCTCTGACCCAGGCAGAATCAGCAGAAACAAATGGCCCAGCAAATGCTTCTCACTTGAGCTTGTATTTAAGATCTCTGTTGTCTGTCAATCTACACATTGCGGCCTTCTTCCAGCAAAGAGCTGACCATTGGGCCTGCTGTTGCCTGTCAATCAGCCGGGGACATTTGATAGTCGTTCAGAACAGACAAGATCCTTAGCACAGCCATCTCACGTTCACCCCTCCTGGAGAATGCAGGCCCACTTTTCTGTTTCTATAAAGGACACCTTGAGGCCTGGAGAACAAGGTCAGCAAGACAAATCCACCCTCGATCTAAGTCCGAGATCTTTGAACTTCCTTCAGTTCCCTTTGTTAAGCATCAAAATAGAGAAACATAGAGAAAGGACAAAACTTAGAAAAAGGAGACAGCTTCAGTAAAAGGATATTCAGTCTCACGAGAAACATAGAGAAAGGATAAAACTGAAAAAAAGCTCTAGCAAAAAGCATATTCAGTCTCACCCCTTGCCCTGCCTCACTTCTTCCCCTCACTTCTCATGTTCGTATCTCCAATATCACCCGTAGATAAAATATTACTCACTACACCACTGCCATCTCCCTGCTGCAAGCCCACCAGACTCCCAAGACACAGAAATGCTTTCTCTATCCAAACTTTTACAAAAGGAGAAGACACAAGCAGTACCTTACCTTATCTAAAAGCTTATTTTGCTCTAAAACACATATGCAAGACAAGACAGTGCCAGACAACAGATGGAATTTTTCACAATACTGACATAAAGTCTTGATACTAAAGAGTATCACAATACTATTACATCTTTTGAAAGAGACCTTGGAGGTGCACCTGTCTACGGGTTAGGATCTGTCTCTTCCCTCTTCCTCAGAGGGACGGAATCTGTCCTGAACAAGTATCACCCGTGGTGAAGGCCGCAGTTCAGAAGAGCACTGACACATCCTCCCTCCTGGGAAATCATCTACCCTAGACCCCTCTACCCAACCCAAGTCTGTTCTTACCCACAGATCTATCCCCTTTTTTCCATGTATTGCTCTGCACTACTTCAAACACTTTACTGACAGAGGGCAAAACCACTGTGGGCCATAGGAAATGAGGAAGACTACAGCATGTCCCCAGCTGAAGGGTCCACTCTCACAGCTCTGAGATGACGCAAAGAGCAGAGCAGAGTTGCCTGCAGAGCGGCTAGGCAAGGCCAAACAGTATGGCACATAGAGCAAGGCACACAACCAATACTTCATGCATGCATACTGGTCCCTAAGAATTCTGCCAATTGCCTGCATTCCTCTACACAGTCCATCGCTGCCCTGGCTACACCCTTCCAAAGCTGAGCACACAGTCAGTGCAGCAAGCACTCCCCAGCTTATCACCTTCCCAACAACTGCTGCCAAGTCCCTATCACTACCTTCCACTGCCCAGTTTCCCAAGCGGTTTTTCTGCTTTCTTCCCTGCCTGAACCTCCAGTCAAATCAGAGCACTGCCTCTTTCCTCCTCCTCTTTGTCATTCTTCAAGTGAACTCCTCCTGTCTGATGGCAGAAATTAGTGCTGCTTTTCTATGTATTCCTACTGCAGAGTCTTTTCTCAAGGGACATCAACATCATAGCAGCCAAAATGCTGAAGCAGAAAAAAGGAAGCTTCCTGTCTGGACATACCAGATAGAGGAAAACAACCTGGAGAACTGATAGGTAAAAGTAAAAGAAAGCGTCAAGAAAAGAAAAGCAAACACACCTACATGAGCCTTAGGAAGGGTCTGAACAGGGAGAGGGAAATCACTGCAATGCACTATATCATTGAGCTGCCACCTACAGCCATTTCCTGTTCTGAAAGACAGAGACCCTATCCATCTCGGCACCATACAGCAGGACTCTGATGGCATGCAGCGAACAGCCATGGGCTTCTTGTTAACAGAGAAGCTGACAGATTTTAAGAACAACAACAACAATTACCAAGTATACAAACATGGTATTTTTAAAAATAAAAACAGAAGCTACCTTGGCTAGACAACATATCATGTCAAGGCATAAACATAAGCAAGAGGAGATGCCAGATGCTGTCTGGAGGTAAGAATGGGTCACTAGCAGTATCTGGAACAGTTAAGACATTTAGACTAGACTGATACTGTCTGATGGCAATAGGTTTCTGACTGCACAAATGGTTTCCCAACTGAATGTGCCATTTCAAAACGGACTCTTAGAAGTACAAGAAAAAAAAAGTTGTAGACGCCTTTTCTCCTCTCCTACAACTACAGATGTTACCTCATAAGAGTTCCTTTTTTCTGAATGCCTATGAATCTTTTAGAGATTTAGTAAGCCGAAACATCAATATTGCAATCTTCTTGCCTGTCTGCCATATTACATAATCACA